CCCCCTAAAAAGTGCCCTAAAATGTACCCCCTTTGCCACCGGTACGGCCGTGGTGGCACAGAACCCCTATTTGTATATTACTAATTGAGTTATAGCGCTATCTAGTAATGTTTGACTATTTATTAAATTAAAATATTAAGTTGGGAGGTTCCTAAAAAGAAATGTATGGAGTCCGTCCACGCGGCCATCGCGCGCGTTAAGTTCAAATTTGTTTCCTTGTCAAGCAAGAAATGACCAATGAATACTCGGTTTATGAAATACTGGGATCCTATAAAAACTTTGACAAAATTTWAAAAAGGGCCGTCATTGTGCAACTTTTCCGATTTTTTTAATCAGGGCCGCGACAATACAAAGAACAAAGAAGATGTAAATAAGATCCTGACTATAGCCGGTTGTAAACAAAGAACGACGGTTCTAGAACATATAGTAAGCACTATCTTGTTTGCGTCTTCGTTTGTTAGCTTGTTAGTTGTCGCAGCTCTAGTAATTGAACATAATAAAAAATACCGACGCTGGAAACTCACAGTCGATAAGAACAAAACCGTACTTCTCCAGGGATTTTCAATAAGCATGTATAGGTTTTCTTGAGAGTTCCGATTCTAGATATCACGAAAACCCCTTTTCGGTCTCATCGAGTTACATATCCATAACCTTCACTGTTTTAGTCACGGGCAATCGCTACAAATATGCGTGAACGTGCAAGGAACGATTGTACATGATCTTTTTTTATGAACTTAGAAGCTGGCGAAAAACTTTCACAAGTCTTGATAGAATTTTATAACAAACTCCACATCTATCGTCAGTCTTGGGTGTTTGGCAAGCGTATATATATAGTAATTAAATTACTAAATTGTATTCAATATTTATCATATGTCCATGAAAGGAATTGACGAAACTACTAGCGTATTAGAAGATCGGCAGAAACTTCCTTTCACTCTGTCAATAGCGGATTTGATGTTTATCATAAAGTAATGACCTAATGACTAATGRCCTAATTCTATCAAGAAACGCACAAAATGTCATAGTTTAGATAAGCCTTAATAACCTAAAAAAGGCAATAGTATGGTAGACCATTTTTAAATATACATGTTTCGGTATGCTAGCTAGAAGACAACACGTGCTGATTAATTCACTGAGAGTAAATGAATGAAAAGCAAACACACTTTCTGAAATCTGATCTGAGAGATCGTAATAAAACTGCATTTTGTAATACGCTGGTTACACATCGTTTCATTTAGTAGCTTTTTCGACCAGTCAGAGCGCGCAAAATAACTTAGCTGTTATTTTTAAAAACTTTATTGTGTAACAAGAGAAGGATGACTTGAACAATGAGTACTATAAGTATATAATTGGGTTACTATTTGATCCCCTATGGGATCAATAGACCAACTTGAACGATTATTTCTTAACGTCATTAGCTCTATTTTTATTAGGACAGGTCGATGGCATTTGTATGAATAAAATAGTTTTCAACTTAACGAAAACCGCTTTTAGTTGATTGATTGCGCAGTGTTAATGTCCGATTCTTCCAATTTTGCTGAATAAATCAAACTACACACGACTACGCGGATATTAGCCCAAATCTTTTTTCGTCGATCTAACACATCGGTGATCTTATCTTGATTAAAAAAAGAATTGGTTGCTAATTTTCAATCCAAAAAGTCCAAAAGCAAATATTGAGCTAAAGATAAAAATGGTGACCGCGATCGGAAGCCAATTTGCACCATGCTAATGGGGTCTTTGACACTTTTCAACTACAGTTATCTTTTCATAATTTGTATAATTCGTATCTCAACCAAACGCTTTGATATCAAAACACGGAGTCTACTCCTAATGCTATCTGCCGGAATATTTAAGCATTTCTCAATATGAAGCCATCATTTTTTTTTTTTTTTTGGTTACTAAAAAAAGCTAGATATATCGATCGATAAAATATTAACCATATATTTATTTGGCCAAATGAATGATCGTATGACTCCAAGATTATTAGCTGAACTTTTCTTTGAACTGACTTCAATGTCATTATTGACGAAGCATTGCAAGAATTTGCCAGCATTAGGTTAAACTGACGCAATACCCTATCTCAATAATCCTCCCTTGATGCAGAACACCACCCCTTTCCTCATACGTGTATGTTTTCCATTGAGTTAATGGCCGCATTGCATAAAATTTTCGCGGCATTTTAATTTCTTGATTTCGAAAGTCATTCAAGCGTCTTCATGCCCTTTAATGTCTCGATTTAAAAAAATTCGGTTGTAGCACAAAGCAAAGCAACAAAAACACCCACAGCCACGCAATAACGTACTGAACACAGAACAAGATGTGGACTACTTAGGTTAATCAAATTCTAAATTTAGATATCTTGAGAATGTGATATATAAGGAAAAAAATATTAYCCAAAAGGTAATTGGAAAGAACAAATTAGGATAGATAAAATAATATACACAGGTGATAATAACAGAGTTGTTTAGGTAAAACAAAATGTAATCACTATTTAGGTGCTATAATCATTAGCAATCACAATTAAGATTTAAAAATTCATGTGCAGAAAGAGAACCCATTCTTTTCAACCGTATTGGGATCAATTGAATTAGCAGTTGTTGACTGATGCATCCTTCATTCAATTTTTATTTTTAAATTTTCCTGGCTACTTTTTTCAGTTTGGAATTTTGTCATTTGTTATAATTTTTTTGCGTTTTATTCTTCTATTATTTGCTTTATGGCAAATATCATTTCGTATAAAGTTCCAAACTATATGTTAATTAAAATATTTGGTTCTTTCTTACTTGACTTCCTGATTAGCTGTTAGAAGCTATATTGACATTGTACAGTCTGTTGAGTGACACTGTGAGTAGGATTTCTCGCATTGGTAAGACGAAACATTATTGTGGTGAGGGTACAAAAACAGAGCGGCGGTATATTTACACACAAAAACATTGCGAGCTAAGGCATGAGGTTTGAGACAAGAGCTTGTCCTACCCACATAGAAACATCAAAGACAATTAAAGCTTACAGCTGAGAAAATATTATGAAACAAGGCGAAGCCTTTATTATCACGTAAATGAATAACAGACTGAAATATTGRCAATATTCAACTACATGTTACTCTGACTGGCGGGCAGAAAAGACAGAACGTTTTGCCTAAAACAAGGTGAGTAAAAATTACAAATCATATTAGGGATTTTCTTTGTAAAGCCTTTAACGAAGTTATTTGCCTTTTCAAGCAAACAATAAAAGTCGCTTTGAAAACAAAAGGCAATGCGAAATTTTACCAGTAACATGATATTTAAAGATGACAATTTCTCAAAAGAAGACATAAAGTGGGGCTTTTTTGTCTCTATAATTAGGAAGCAGTGAAAATACAAAATCCTGGTCTTACGTTAAGCGGATTTCATTATAGGCCAATTTTTTCCTTTTTAGCCTTTAGTGCGCCATACCACGCCAAATAATTTTTTTATTTCATATTGTTAATTTTGTATTTATAGTTTCAAAGACTAAAGTACAATTGATTATTCAAATCCAAGGAAATAACGCGACATTTTTTACTTTTTGTTGTTACGTTAAATTGACATGACGCGAAAAGTTTGTGTAATAAGGTAGAAGTTCAAAACAAGTTATAACTGAATATGCCACCACCTTTGAGCGACGACCAGATATCCGAACGACATAGCGTTTTTTTAAATAGTTGTATTAAAAACGAGAGAGGGAAGTTCACAAATGGCTTACAAAGGCTGAAAAGCTCTCGCGCTCTATATTTCTTTTYCATCTTTTCATTAATAAATAAATGCTGATGTTAACATAGGTATGTACAATTCATAGAACGTGCCATCCGGCTATTGTAGTCGATCAATATTATCGGATAACTACATTCATTCACATGGCAATGACATTTCAACAATTTAGCTTAGCCAAGGATATGTTTGCTAGGCTTCTGCTTAGCTTTGGTCGCTTTTGCTTTTTAATTATTGTTATCATTGTTTCTGGCAGTGAAGTCATTAAGCCCGTGAAATAGATATTAGACTAACACACATTAGTAGACCCTAATTCCATTGTTTTCTTTTGTGTCTATTTGACTATTACACGTTGACTAATAATTTTTATTTCACGGGTTAAATGCCTTCACTCTATAGATCTGTAACAATGAAATAATTTCTAGTTCTATTACTCTAAATACTGAAACTATATGAAGCCACCCATTGTTGTAAACGAAATACTTTATTTGAATTCCCCATACTCATTAATAATTCATGAGGAAACCAGCCAATCAATGGGCTATTTTTTGGGTCACATGATGTTACTTGAAACCTGGTAAAGTCCTGTGAAAGGACTGAATTAATTTTGTTCAAGTCCTTGGACTGGATCGAAATTAATTCAGTTCAGGGACATATCTGTCCCTTAAGTCTTTCATTCCTAAACAAATAACTTCCCGAATTATTACTGAATATGAGAAGTCATTTCAAAGCCTCCAAATCGCACTGGACGGGATTTCGAGTCCTTGCAATTAGTTACAGTCCTCGGATGCGCCTCGGACTGGAACTAATTGCGCGGACTTGAAATCTCGTCCAGTCCTCATTGTCGGTTTTGAAATATTACTTATTTGTGATGCATATGAAGGGCACGTATTTTGCAGTGTGGGCGAAAAAAGCTAAAAAAAAGAAGCAGTAAGGCTACTTTTAGATGTTTCAGAAATTTCTAGAAATTGATACTGAAAAGAATTCAAATCATCAATCGATCGGTTGTTTGTATTGAGTATTGAAGAGAGGTATTCCATATTGTGAATACATTCGTGTGTGCTACATCAACCCGACTTCATGAAGACGAAGGCTGTCTCGCGCAAGCGCCAATTGCATTAACATCATATGATAAAAACACTAGCTGAAGATACTGAACTAAGTCATGCACTGAAAGAAAGTCGACAGCAAATGTTCTTTTATCTTACATAATTATCTACGTTAGCCATATGCATATGTTTTGAGAAATATATTCTCAATTTGGCAACCCAATGATAAATTATCATGTCAGGGTGCTTTAGATACATTCACTATAATTTCGGGGGGGGGGGGGGGGGGGGGGGGGGGGGGGGAGACTTCGGGAGACTTCATTTTACATCACCATCATAAACCTTATCGTCATCATAATAATATGTAATTTTGATTTTGATTTCTCCAGATGTCAACGACATGGAACAGCGTGGTCCTACACACCAAATGACAGGTATGAAGCACTACAAAATCACTAATAAACCGACATACGAAATGCTTAGGAAAACGTCAGGGGAGCTAATTGCAGCAAAAATATGTTTTTCAATGAGGAAATACACAATAAAAGAGGCGGTATATATTTTCGGTAGAGAGTGGCTATTTGCTCAGAAGGAGAAAACGAATGATGAGTACCACTTTTGCTAATGTAGCTATTGGTATTTTCTATGAGACTAAAACATGTCTGGCAGAAATACATCATTAGCCGATCGATGTCTGAACAACAATTTTGTAGGTTTTGCCAAAATGGGGGGTAATAACAACAAATCAAAAAGGAAAGAGAAAATTGGTCCTTTTGAATAGGGATTATATTCAGAGGTGCCTGAATGTATACAACGATGGCGGATAAAAACATGGCTCTTTAGGCTATTAGTCGATGTTTTACTCTGGGCTTCCAAACACCAGGTATGTTTATTGTAGAGCAGAATGCGGAGAACGTTTCTTCAAGCACTCGGCGTTATTTGCCGCGGTTTATTATGGCTACACATCAAATGTTTTATATGTTTTTTGTTCTAGAAAAAGACTTAAACCATCAGGCGACGCAGTGTAATGGATATGTTACATACATAACAAAATTTCTGGCTATTTTACTGACGCAAATAAGTGTTTCCTAAGTGCAGTTGGGGGTGGTTACTTATTGGAATACTTAGTTTCACTTGAACAAAAAGGAATGTAGAAGAGATAACACTAAATGGAAAAAAAAAAAAAAAAAAAGAAAACCACAATTAACATTTACTTCTGACTTACATTTAAAAAGCTTACTTTATATTTATTGGGTATRTRGATTGGCGTGTTCCTTTCTATGATCATGAGTCTTGTTCTTCATTTTATGGAAAATCTATTTATTTAAGAGCAAGATAGTCGTTCACTCTGCCATTACAAAGTCACAAGAGTACTTACAGCAGTACGAGGCATCCGAAATTAGTGCTTGGCTTATTCATTTATCCAACTTATTCGTATTTGATTTTTTAAATTTTCTTTCTTTTTTCTTTTCTCAATGTGATTAACTTTAAGTTATCTAGTCTGTAAGCAGATGCCGACTATAACATGAAGAGTAAAATCAAGGATGTATTCTTGAAGCATATGTAGTAAAAATATAGCGTTTTATTTACTCGGGAAAGCTTTTTATTGGAATCATCCTGTTTATTTTAAATTCTTTACCACTACAGCCACTGCTTAGCTATGGGGTATTATCGAATCGACCAAGGGAAGAAAACGAATACTTAGCAAATCTCGAGTGCCTGCCAACCTGAAACACGTTTTCTTGCACCACTAATCTGTTTAAAATATAGATGCTTAATTTGAACCCTGGCAAGTTAAGATGGTGAGGGCTTGTATTACGCAAGGTATGTTTGCTACTTAACGTTCTTATTTCACCAATATCACATTTTTACTTAAAACAAGCTTTTATGCATGTGATGATAAAATGGTTAATTATACATCGTGAAAAGATGAAAAAAACTTACTAGAACTTACATTATTGGTGCATTATTGATGTTCGGTTACTGAACTTTCTAAATGATATCTAAATTAAATACAACCATAGGAAATGATAGTCAGTGCAACATTTCATTCGCCTCCTATTAAATTTTAGTAAACATTCTAACTTAAAACCTAGCCAATCGCAGATTGCTCTTACATCAGAATATTATACATTTTGGGTGAACTGATTGATATAGGAACAACTTTTCGTCAAATACCTGAAAGTTGGACATATTTTAACAAATTAAGCTTACTTGACGCAACTTCGATCTTTTCGTGGTGTCAAATTTTCTTTTCATTTCTTTCCCTCTCTTTTTTAATATCGGCCAATGATTGTTCTGTCATTACACAAAACCACACTAAAGAAAACTATAAAGATTATACGTCGTCATTAAATTCTTCTAGTCGACTGACATGCCTAGGACGGTAAATCCTGGTAAAATAATGTTATTGAGCTGTCCAATCGTTTATGTTGAAGCCCAAGATAAATATGCACTCCAAGGTACGACTAGTTCAATTTTAACGGAATGATTTTAACGGAATGATGAGCCTTCTAATAAACGTTTATTCTATCCTTATCACATGAAACCTCAAAAGCAGACACATGGGCACCTCGTTAGTGGACCGCTTAAACCAACATCATGCTTTTTATACAACCACAGACACTATTATGCTATAAGACTTTGGAACATCTTAGGCCGAGGTAATTTTTCAGTTAGTAGCACTAATATTTTGTTACGAATAGGGTAACATATCAAAATGCTTAATACATATTCATAACATCCAAAAAGAGGAAGCTGACTTGAATTAGACTAAATATGAGACGATCTTAAACTTTTCCCCCAAGGCATCGAAATTCTGGTGGGGAAAAGACATCAAAAGCTTGGGTCATTATTAGTCGACAATAAAAAGATATGTTAATGTAGTATCGGTAATGGCTTCGTTCATAATTCATGGCTTTAATCTTGTTCGAGAATGAACCAAAATGGTCAGCCACACAGGACTTCGAATTCTTTATTTGGGATTATCAATAGCAGAAGACGGGATCTCTTGCAAAAGATGTCATGGGAAACAAAGGCTCGCATTAGTTCATGAAATTCTCTGATATTGACAGCTTTTCTCGGTAAAGAGGATTGTTAACCTTTAATCAATTTTTAATTACGTAAAGAAGGCAGCAAAAACGGACTTACGTTGGTCGTTAAGTATTCAACAGGAGCAACTTGGTAACAATTTTGTTTTACTAAAACGATGTGTCCGTTGCAATTTGCACTTGTGAATATATTGCTCTTATTCTCCCTTACAAGAATGTCTTTTGTGTGGATACCAAAATCTTTGAGTATTTTTGAAATAGTCACAATGTGACATTTTTGCGGTAGGCAATTCCTCACCTTCTTTCTTTCTTTCTTTCTTTCTTTCTTTCTTTCTTTCTTTCTTTCTTTCTCTCTTTCTTTCTTTCTTTCTTTAGAGTGCTGCCCCTAGCTTAGGGAGAACTGATGACTTGAAGGAGCGAATAGTCAATGGTAGGAGTATTTTCCTCTTGTGTGTTGTCATCGCCATGTAACAAAACAAGCTACAAATGGGTAGATGTTTATTCGTTTTTATCGGTCGCTCCTTTCATGCATGGTTTCATTTCGCTTCTAGTTGTTCCAAAGTGCTGTAAATTAATAATTAGTGCTGTAATTTACCTGTAAATCGCAGTACATCATCCAAACTTTCACTATATAGTATCCTGACATACACATTATCCGTCTAAATCCCCTCACTATTCAATCACTGATGTGACGAAGGTTTGAAGATTTAAAGATGGAAAAAGAAAATAAAAGTTTGCTTTAGTTTTGACAAAGCAAGTTTTTTTATGAGTGATCAGTAATTCTTTTAGGTTCCTCATTATTCTAGTTTTGATGTTCTAAAGGAAAATGATAGCTGTTATTTATTTACTCATGCGTAGATGCAAAGATATAAACCTGGTAGTCTGGGAGTGCAGCTAGCATTGGATTAAAAAGAATCGAAAAAGTTGATTTGGAAACCGGGAAACGCAAACTGCGGCTCCTAGTGATTTTAATGTATAGCGCAAACCGAAGTAAGAATTTTGTTGAGACATAAAGAATTGAAGCATTTTTTATTCATTTATTTAACTTTTTTGTTTGTTTGTATTATGTGGAACAAAGTAATAGCGATGTTTCGCAGATTCTCCTTTCTGTAATTTCTTTCAGTTCAGTCTTTTTTTTATTTTTATTTTTTCCCCTGTAAAAACCTTAAAGAGCGGCATACTTACAATTTTTTTTTTTTTTTTTGTATTGAGCAATTGAAGAAAAAGCTTTTATCCTAACAACGTAGAGATTTACGCCGAACTTATTTTGCTTTCCCATTGGCTTCTAAACTTAGTATTTTCCGCACTAACAATTAGATTAAGGATAGAGAGAACGCTATTGAAAATCCATTTGGTTATGTGGACCTTGTTCGACCGCGTTCTTCCATCGACATATAAATTTAGACAATAAGAATAGAAAGCAAACGATGTCTTCCAGAACCTTCCCAAAACTGTTTCTGTTAATAGCATCGAGCTTTTTTTATTTAGAGCAGTAATTAAATACCGTTTAAGATAAGGGTAGGCATGTTCTTGTCTCGGTCTGGAACACTTACGACATTATTTACCACTCATCGGATAGGGAAGTTCAAGCCAATAAACCTAACTTAATTTCAATGTTGTAACATTGCTTTTACGAATGAGTTGACAGCAGTACGAAGCGAAGCAAAACAATTCGACGATATACAAAGGTTACTCTTGAGAGTGATAAATTGTCAAAGAATTGGCTGCTTTTTGGCCGGCTGTCATATGTAATATCTCCCACAATRCTCAAATATATTGTGTGATTAAACTAAGGGCGTATAGCAGCTGCACTAAAGGAAAAAAAACACTTTAGCATGTTAAATATTAATATCGAACAAGGAAACATTTTGTACAATAGAACTTTGACCATGAATGCTGTTTATGATGCACGAGACGCATGTGTTCCGGAACTGTGATGAACTGGGGATAAGACAAGATTCTTGCTGAAGATCTTGAATGGAATTTCTTTGTGCTGTAATTATGTTATAATGCTTCGGTTTTTGTTTTCTTTTATTTATTTATTATTATTATTTTATTCATCCTATATGGCCATTCCAGTCATTTTTCCTTTTGTGACAGTTGTACATTGTACATTCTTTTAACTGCAATGTTAACTTATGTATGTTTATACAAATGACACTGCATGTACACTGTTGAAATATAAACCTATAAAACTGAAAAAATAAAATAAAATAAAAATAACAAAAAATTTATATAAACAATAGATATAAATAAAAACGACAAATAAATTTTAAAAAACAACAGCGAAGGACTAATTAAATTGTTGTCGTTGGTTCCATTTACTGAAGGTTTTCAAATCATTCACGGATCATTCCAAGAAAATTGGAATCTGTATTGCTGAT